CATGGGATGGCGTCTGTGTGGGAATTAAGGTCAGCTCTGTAACATTTCTCAAAATAAAAAAAAAATCTTTATAATTAAATGATTCGGAAGAACCATGAGGATATGTATAGGCTGTGCCTGCAATGAATAACGGAAGCATATTGCATTGTACGTTAACCCAAAAATCCTCTACATCTGCACTCCTTGCAGTTGCAGCGGATATCCCATTTGTTTTGAGAGTATCTCGTACACATATACAGACTCCTCCCCCATGTCCTGCATCGCATCTATAAAAATTGAAATTTGGTATTTTGATGAAAGCGCTTGACATATCCAGGAGAGATTGTGCATTAAGGTGATCTATTTCTAGCATGTGTAACCTGTCGGTGTCTTGCCAAACCTCTGGTTACGATTGTACTTGTTTCTGTTTAGGAACATTTTGGCATTCCTTGGGAAGGCATCTGAGTCTAAGAACAGTTCAGGCTTTAATTATCGGCCTCGCACAGTTACCATAAAGCTAGTATAGTAGTTGTGGCTTATCATTGTCTTGTGAGCTTTTACACTTGATATTTTTTCGAAGTGGTCCGAGAGGTGCTCTTCGATGTCTTCTTTGTTTGTATCTGGATGACAGCTGGCGATGGTACACTGCCTCGGGCCGATCAGCTTCCATTAAGGGCTATGGTGTTTGTCGTTCCTCTCTTGATTATCTCCTTTGTTTCTTTGAAACGACTTTGGTGAAACCTTCATCGTCTGCATATTCTATTCTCTTTACGTGGTTGTTAATCACAACCGTCGGCACTACTGGAGCTGAGGGTGTAGTGGGAACGTGGGCCTCCTGGCACCTGGGAATGAGTTGCTCATTCCACTGGCGATTAGGAGCAAGTTCCTTCTGATTGTTTTTCTTATTTCGCTTTTTCCTAAAGCTTCGCCTAGGCGTTACTTGCGTGCCTGCTTCGCTTTGCTTGTTGGCTGGTGAGCTGTTCAAGGACTGCTGAGGGTTCTGGTCCTCGGGGAGGCTGGCGAGTCAGCAAGGGCGCACGCCTGCTCGCTCGCTGCGGGCGGGGAGAGAGGGGAGGAGGGCGCGAGGGGAAGGGAGGGGAAGGGTCACTGGTCACGGGTACAGCAGGCAGGGAGAGTGTGGAGGGGGATTCCTGGGTGGAGGAAGAGGGCATTCTGATGGGGGGGGGGGGATGCGAAAGGGAAGGATTGGTCAAGGGCGGGGGGAGGGGAAGGGGGGTCGGATGGGAGTTGGTGTGTGTGTGTGTGTGTGGGGGGGGGGGGGTCTGGTGTGCCGTCTGCTGCGTCTTCGCATTCTTGTTTCTGCTTGAGTGAGTGAGGGGAAGAGAGAGAGAGAGAGTGAGGGGAAGAGAGAGAGAGTGAGGGGAAGAGAGAGTGAGGGAGGAGAGAGGAAAGGAGAGAGAGGGGGGGGGAGAGAGAACGAGAGAAAGAGAGGAGGGGGAGGGAGGGAGGTAGAGAGAGAATGAGAGAGAGGGGGGGATAGATATGGGGGGGGGCGAGGGAGGGAGGGAGAGAGAGAGAGAGAGGGAGGTAGAAAGAGGGAGAGAGAGGGTGAGAGGGAGGGAAGGTGATGTTCAGTACTAAGTAGCAATTAGGAAGGCTGTTTCGTTGTTTGTCCTTTTGTTCTGTTTTCCTTGCTGAGCAAGAAGAAAAGGTCACAGCCTCGGCGCCCTCAACCTCAGGAAAAACTTCAGGTCTTGTAAACACCCACTCAAACATGTGAGTATGTGTCTTTACCCTTATGTTAGATCCGCCCTTCCACCCGCAGAGCCACAACGGAGGGCGTGAATGCCAGGGTCACCTGGGATCTCCTTAAGAACATCTTCGGCTGCAGATTCGACCACGATTGGCTCGTCTTTGCGCGGAGCCGGAGTCTAGTGCGCAAGAAGGAGGGGAAGCCGTGCGCACGGTCGCGCGGAGAGGGGGCCGGCGCTTGCCTCAGGGATCTCTGCCTCAACCAGACCAACATCGTGGTCAAGGTGAGGGCATTTCGCTCTGGGAACGGCTTTTCAGCAGGACGATTTATGATATCGTTTGGAAGAAACACAAGTTTATGCATGTGTACACAGACAGATACACACAGCAACAAGCATACGCCAACACACACACACAGTCCCTCTCACGTGCCCCTTTTCTTCTTCTCCCTATATCCTCCCTCTTCACATGTCCAGGTCATACGGATGCGGGTTTCGTGGCTGGCCGACCTCCTGCTGGAGTCGGGGCCGGAGCTGAAGGTCGTCCACCTGGTGAGGGACCCCAGGGCCACCTTCAGGTCCTCCAGAATGTTCGTGAAGACGCAGAAGGACTACACGGAGCTCTGCCCGAGGATCCTGGAGGTGAGGGAGAGGGGGCTGGGGAGGGAAGGAGGGAAGGGGGAAGGGGGAAAAGAGGGGAATGAGGGAAGGGGGAAGGGGAAGAGGGGAATGAGGGAAGGGGAAGGGGAGAGAGAGAGAGGAGAGAGAGAGAGAGAGAGAGAGAGAGAGAGAGAGAGAACTAGAAGCGAGAGAGAGAGAGAGAGAGAGAGAGAGAGACAGACAGAGAAAGAGAGAGAGAGAGAGAGAGAGAGGAGGAAGAGGAGAAGGAGGAGAGAGAGAGAGATGGGGGAGATAGGGGAGAAAGAGAGAGAGAGATGGGGGAGAAGAGAGAGGGGGGAAAGAGAGAGTGAGAGATAGGGGAGAAAGAGAGATAAGAGAGAAAAAGAGAGAGGGGGGAGAAAGAAAGAGAGAGAGAGAGAGAGAGATGGGAGAGAAAAAGAGAGAGGGGAGAGAGAGAGAGAGAACCAATGAGAGATAGAGAGAGAGAGACGTGATGCTGTCCTTCTCTGTGTCTGCTACAGACCCCAGTGGCAAGACTCTGAACCACTTGTTTATCTTCAAGCTAACCTGGATAATATTCTCATCCCTTGACCCTGTGATTACTGATCTGGCTGAATCAGACGCCAGTTTTTTTTTCCTGGGCACAGTTTGCTCCTCTGATCACTTAGATCAGAGGAGTATTCTCACTGGCACTGTTGACAGACAAGCACTGGCTCTTACCAAATTACTAGTCAGCCTTCAAGCAATGCATGTACCTAACAAGACATACAAGGCAAAATCCACGGATCAGCCATCGTTTGTCTACAATTGTAGAGTAGCATCTGCCAAGAAAATGAGAGCCTGGAACCGTTATAAGCGCCATCCCACACAAAGAAACAAAGATGCTCATGCTATGGCTTGCAGGAGAATGAAAGCTGTCCAAAAATGGTCAATTAATCGATGGAAGGAGGACCTCCAATTAAAACTCACTGGTCGTTCAGTGGGAAGTAAAGCCTGGTGGAGCTGCATTAAACAGCAACAAGGATTTTCACCCGACGACTGCATCCCTCTCTCAGCAGGCCTGATGGATCATTTGCAACCTCCAGCAGAGAGAAGGCTGAACTTCTGGCTTGACCCTGACCGACCATCTCCTAGTCTGCCTCTCGTGACTCACTTTCGTGATCTCTGAAGCAGAAGTCAGGCAGCTTCTAAATAAGGTTGTTGGACCTGATAAAGTTAGTCCTCACACAATTCACAGGTGTGCTACGCAGCTGCTCTTGCCTCACTTTTCCAAATATACCTGAGGTACAATAAATGGCCTAATATTGGGAAGAAAGCAAACATTGTTACACAAAAAGAAGAGCAAATCAGACCCAAATAACTATCGCCCTGTTTCACTCCTTTCCTTTGTAGGCAAAATATTTGAGAAAATCCTAGCAAACAAACTGCTTCATTATTTTGATAAAACGCATCTACTGAGTATCAGGCAACTTGGCTTAAGGTCACAGAGATCGGCTTCAGACCTACTTCTGCACCTAACTACAGTATGGCACCAAACTCTTGATACTCGCAAGGATACCTGCGTTGTTGCACTCGATATAGCAGGTGCTATAGTTTTGGAATTGACAGCAATCTACTAATGCTATTCGAGGACTACCCCCAATAAAGAACATTGAGAGTTATCGTTAATGGTCACACATCTGAGGAATTCCCCATTCAAGCCAGTGTACCACAAGGCAGTGTAATCAGATCATTTCTGTGGAGCATTTACTTTAATGATATCCTGCAGCTCATCCCTGAAGCCTATACTTACGCTGACGACTGTATTCTCATGTATTCACTTTCATCTCCGATATCCAAAACCGTGCAGAGGCAGTTAGACGCATAAATGACACACTTGACTATATAACTTATTGGAGTAAAAAGTGGCAGGTACTCTGGCACCAGATAAAACCCAGTTAATGGTTATATCTAGACGGCAGACATCAGACAACGCCCTTGCATCCATCATAAAGCTAAATAACAAACCCATCAGTATTGGCAAGTATATCAACATTCTTAGCGTGCAGATTGATAATCACCTAACCTTCACTAGTCACATCAAAGAGTTAGCAAAGAACGAAGTAAGAAAGTTGGCCTGTATACGATGCATCGCTTCTCTGCTAGACAGCAAAGGATGCATAGTCCTTTACAACTCCCAAGTCCATTCTTTGATGGAGCATTCACCTGGCTGTCCTGCCCGCCAACTCATCTTGCCCTCCTGGACAGAACAGAGCCCAGCGGCTGGTGGAACAGAAGATGCCTGTAAATGAGCCGCCAACACATTTTCAGTCCCTTCAACATCGGAGAGATGTGGCTGGCCTTAGCGTCTTCTACAAGATACATAAACAAAATAGTTCCCCGTTGACATTGCTACAATTTCCACCAGCAGACGCACCCACATAAGGGATAAGAAATGCCAGTAATCGAGTCCAAGAAGTCCAGGTTCCCTTCGCGAGAACGGAGCTCTATCTGCGCTCCTTCCTGTCTAGATTTTCTAGAATGTGGAACATTTTAGCCCAGCAAACTAACCTGCTTTATCTCGACGCATTACAGCTGTTCAAGACAGCAGTGAATGCTTGGAGATTACAATATGAACCAGGCTAAGTAATTTCCACTTGTAATTTTTTTAGTTAGACCAACTTCTCTTTTATCAGGATTGAGTTTTAAATATCTGTTTTAAGCTATAGAAAATTTTACAGAGAGAGAGAGATAAGGATAAGTCCAATATGCAAGGCTGAGCCTCTCCCGGGCTATGCCCATGAGGGGAGCCCGGCCTGTGTCGACTAATGTCGACTCGCTAACAGTGTGTCAGCTGATGCTGACTCGGCTGAGCTTAGTCCTTACCCACCGCGGTGGCCAGCCACAGCAGTATCCTCCAGGCGACAATTGCAACTTCTCGCGCCTGGGCGGGGCGCGAACCGCCGACCCTCGGATGAGAAGCCGACACGTTACCGCTGTACTAGCCTGGAGGCTGAGAGAGAGAGAGCGGGACATCGCAGTTACAAAGATAAAGAAAATGAAGGAAGATATTTAAAGGGAAGACGTAATCATTTAGTTTCACGAGTTTTTCTAAATTGCCAAATTCATCCTTATCCCCGATATCTTCAAGTATACAAAATAATGCAAGAAAGCCCAACAGGACACCTCGATGCTATACAACTTTCAACGGGCAGCACCTTAGCCTGCTTGTATTTGAAGACGCTACGAGTTCATGGTCTACCAAATCACGTAGACTTCCCCACACATATCCTTGATGGTTCCCTTGATCTAGTCCTCAGTGATCTCAGTGAGGAAGTCAAGGGTAAACCTCTTCAGGTCATATTGCAGTATTAACTGAAGTAAACACCATGTCGTACATACAAGAATCCTTTCAAAGAGAGATATGGCTATGGAAATATGTTGACCTGGAAACAATTAATTAGTCACTCAAAAACACAAACAGGCAGCAACGTCTGACTGGAGATGCCCAGGTTGAGTGGTTAACACAGTATCTCTTATTTTTACGAAGTCAGTATGTACCCAATTACTGTTATGCAGCAAAACCTTGCTTCAGATGTACAAGGTATGGAGAAGGCTTGAGCAGCATCCCACCAACCACAATAGAGCTTTGCATGAGAGGCACCAATGTTGGATCCAAACAGTGATGGTCTTTGGTTAAAGAAAAACAAGGCCATGTAAAGCAAGACACCATTCCACCTCTTTAAGACATTGATAACAGTTACGCAATTACATCTGTCCAGAAATCAGACCTCTTGACCAAGCAGTTCAGTAGAAAAATCCAGTCCGGGAAGACTACTGCATTATCCAAGACAATTTGCAAACACGTCTCTGCACACCTTACGAACCCAGGCAAAGAAAGTGAAGAGCATCTTGGAGAATCTAGACACCAAGAAGGCTACTGGGCCTGGTAACTCCAGCTCACACTTTCTGAAGGACTATGCAGATGAACTCTCAGCTCCCCTTGCAATGACTTCCAAATGCTGCCAGAGAGAAGACCTGGTCAAAGACCTAGAAATTATACGTGGGATTCCCATACACAAAAAAACTAGAAAGTCAGTTCCAAAGAACTACAGAATCATCTCTCCATCGAAGGAAAGTATTTGAAAAAATGATTGCATATCACACTGAATGTTTCTCCGACCAGAATCCCCTTATCGCAGCTCAGGAACATGGACTCAGAAAGATGAGATCAACACCCGATGTTTTAATGGCACTTTGTCAGTCTGGGAGAGACGCGCTGAACAAAGGGAGAGACGCCATTGCAATTGCCCTCGATATCGCCGAAGCTTCGACAAGGTATGGCACAGTGGTCTTCTCTCCAACTGTCCTATATAGGCATCTCAGGTAACCTGCATACACGAACGCAAGAATATATCCGTCAGAACGTCCTAGTTGCTGTAAAGAGTCATCAATCAAGACAGTTCTCAATGTTGTTATTATTATTATTACTATTATTATTATTATCATTATTATTATTATTATTATTACGGTAAGCCATGTAAAGAGCCACACTGAAAAAAATCGAGGATTATAACATGAAATGTATCAGTGCAGGCCGAAGCACAGCTAAGAAAAAAAAGTAGAAAATCATCAACTATTTACGCATCCGAGCCACAAGGAATGGTATTGGGACCCATTCTTTAGAATGTTTGCATCAACGACCTACAGCTCGTTCCTCACGATATACAATCTCAGTAAACGGCAGCAGAGAGGAAAGTGAAACTGCTAAATCGCTCGTGAAACCGCATTGAAACTCATTGCAACCCAGAAGAAACAATGACAATCCATATTTGCAACAAAAAAAACTCATGCAGTGGTCATCTCACATTCCAGCTACGTTACATATATATATATAAATACACGCACAAACACACGCGCGCGCGCATATGACAAACCACATCTCAATTTTAGGAGTTTACTTTGATCATTGCCTCAGTGTGACGCACATCTAAAGGAAATCCCCAAGAGAGTTGGTAAAGGCCAACGTCCAGCTTTCCTTCTGATTGACAGTGTTCGTCAGGACACGCAACCTGCATCCTAGACGACACTGCAGCATCGAAGAGACGCGGCAGCACTCGCGGTAATGCACAAAATTTAGTGCAACGAGTCCATCACCCGTAGGCACCGCTCGCTAAGATCGACAAGGGCTTTCGTCTCCAGTGAAGAG